GTAAGAACTACCACATTATGCATGATTTTAACTTCATGATTTTCTATAACTATATCATTATGAGTGTATTGCTTATAACTTCGCACTAGGCATATATACCAAACATACTATGTCTCTGTCTCAGTACATTCACTCAACATTCACATTCATCCTTCCTACCCCTACCTGGCCCTCGTCTTTCTTCGCACCAGAATATCTCTCCCAAATCAGCTCGCCCGTCTTGGCAGACCACATGCGGATATATGATCCGTTGGCTGACACAGTGGCCACTCGCACATTGTCACACACTATCAGATCCATCTCTTGCTCAACCGGCATCACGTGTCTCCATACTATCTCCCCATCTGCACTCATGGCACTCAATACATTACTATCTGTGCCCAGGATCATGTACTGTGCGCTTGTAGAATAGCACCCCGTGGTGGCATGTCCAATCATGGGCTTGTACCAGTCGTACTGTCCCGCCTGGTCCTCATAGAGTGCCTGCGCACTCGTGGCCAGTAGCGCTATACATAGCGCGTCTAGACCTTTTACCCACATAGTACCACTCTTGTATGCCCCCGTCTATCAGCTTATACAAAAGGTGGTTCCAGGTGTTTATAAACAATCGCGTATAGCTAGATAGCTGTATATTGAATTCCATACGAGCCTGCTCAGATACTTTGTTTTCTTTTGGTATTTATCTATAAGTTGCAGAGAGCGGCACTTGAGGGCGTTCTTTCATCAAAATTCGCTGACACCACAATGCTATTTCAAGTGTTGTATGATGTTTTTATTTCAAATGCGTACAGGGTTGCTCGGGTATTTACAACCTTGAATTTACAACAATTTTTATAAGATGATACGAGTTTGTCGTAAATCGACTTAGCTTAAAAACCCGCGCGAAATCGTCCTGGCAATCTGGCATGTTTCACCGGCTTTTTTATGATATTACCAACAAATATATTATTACATCATTGTAAAAATATTATATTACATGCTCAACTGTGAGGAACCCGCCTAAAGCCCGCATTGATATAAAGGTCATATAGTGCTTCATAACGTATGCGTATACCGTGTCGATTGCATGACCGGAATTCGCTGCATCAGAAATCTATCACTGATTACCACTTATTGTGAGCAGTTAGACACGTTTTCTATAGCCAGTAGATATTTAAATCGTCAATAACAGCGACGCATAGCCGCTTGAAGAGACGAGTACATTCCGTTTGAAATGCGGTAGAATATCCGTCACGAGCGATTCGCATTGTACAATCACTTACGTGTGTACAAATTATATTTATTAAAGAACGCCACGAAGGCACTTGCAATAGTCAATCAATCAACCAGTACAATGGATAAACTCATTCAACGTGTACTCGAGGAAGTGTCCTTGGAAGGTCGTGAGGGGTGTACGTTCGAAAATTTATGCATAGAATTAGACAAGGTCGGGTGTCAGGGTTGGACACCGTTGAGTGGTGATACGAAAGTGTATCTATTAAACTTGCTCGTGACCGAGAATCCAGGCGGGCATCTAGCTTTTTTCAAGAAATCGGATAAGCCTGGCACATTACCTACAGCCAAGTACTTAGTAAAAGAGAAGGGCTTTGTGTACTATCCGATTTCGGATGTAGACAATGCCGAGGGATCACTCTACGATGTGAATCGCACGCTCTTAACGTCACAGGAGGTATGTTTATATGTGTTAACTGTGATATTGCAAGCGTGAGCCGCATTTGTAGTATACGAGCGTTGTGTTTGTACGAGCTTTGTACGGATACGTACAATTGTGCGTATTAGCATTCTTTGGTTCTACACGTACACGTATACTTGTCTAAGCTAAGATCAATCTCATGGCCATCTTGAGATCATATTAGTGAAATAGTGTACTTCAGGGACACACAGCAGCGTAGCTGGAAAGCCAAGCAGAGGGATATGAGCGCATATTGATGGGTCTTGCGTCTGTCATCATGCACAATCTGTCTTTGTTTTTCTCTTTGACTGTGCTGACAAAGCTAGTTGCCACTACATGCTCTCGTTAACAGAAGCATATGAGTTTTCGTAGTGTCATTTCCTGCTTCATCTACGGCTTTCCACTGATTTTGCAGTGGGCTCTGTCAAACCTTACCATCTGTAGTATTCCCATTCCTATCAACCTCACGTGACAACTTGTAACCTAGCATGATAGATTCACACGTGACTATAGTTGCACATAGCTGTAACTCTCACGTAGGCAACAGCTGTGTATCTTCTGTATGCTTTCGTGTGTGTCCGAGATAGACGTGAGCCCTGTGCGCGATGCTCGCCTATCGATGACAGCATAGTTTTCATATTACGCTGTATCCGTTGGTCGAACGCCTTTCGAAGACCATATGTGTCTGTGAATATTTATGTTTTCACAGATCATTCGTTCGGCAAGTTATTCGTTGTATGTTCGTGTACATCATATTCGCACCCACTTATATGCGACTAGGGTACGTAATGGTGTACTATTGGCCATTTCCACGCATGGAGGCGCAAATATAAATACGGATATGGCTACACGTCTG